AGCCTCAGGCCACGCTCCAGCTGAATTCAGAAAGAAACTGAAGTCCCCAGGCTGTGCCCTGCAAGAGATGCTCCTTGGTTTGGGGTCTCGATATGACCTGGCAAATGCTTGATAAGGCATTAAAAGCTCCACTACAGTCAAAGGGAAGGGAGGAGGCTAACTGTAAGAGGTGTTTAGTTTTTTTGCATCATTTTAGCAGGTCCAATATAATTTCATCCTTAAAGACATCCTGCCTCCAGGACCCTGGTGTTTCAAACAATTGTATACCTGGCTAATCTTTAGAGTAATCGCACCTCTATGACATACATTAAGTGAAACATTTAGAAGAGATGCTGGAGGCGAAGGAGAGGAGAGGTACTGGTCTCTATCTGGGAGGATTACAATTCTGCTCAATCAAAACAAAATACAACCAAAACCAAACCCAATCAGTCTTAGGGGGTTAGGAGTAGAGATAGTAGGTGGGGGTGGGGGGAAGGGCAGGAGAGTTAGGGAAGTGTGGGCACTTTCTCCAGTCATCATAAATGAGAGGGTAGGGAATCATTTCTCAGGTAATGATGGTGATAATTAGAGAGATCCAAACTATCCCACTGCAGGAGCCCAGTTTAAAAGGCTTAAAAAAAAAAACACCACCACAAAAAACACTACACTAAAACCAAAAGATTTCCTTATTGTGCTTCAAAACCAATACAGTTTGCATAATAAACCCCCTAGAGACATTTACTTAATATTTAACTAAGGCTAAATTACAAGATTCTACTTCAGAGGCACTGGGCAGAATCTCTGACGCCTAATTCTGTTCCACTCAGCGCGAGTCAGCGAGGGTTACAATCTGGCCATTGTCGAATACTGTTCAAGACTCATTAATCTCAAGCAAGAACCAACTTAACAAGCCGGGCAATCTTTTGAAGTGAACGGTGGTAGTGGTTTAAACAGAGGATTAGGAGATAATCACATTTCAAGTCCTCTTTTGGCACTAAAACTGACCCCAGTCTGGGGGCTGTGAATTGCAGGGACCAGGCAAGCTGTCTTGCTCCCTTCCCTCCGCCTGTCTCAGACTCCTTGTGACACAGCCAGATGGCAGCCAGCCCACATCCAGAGACGCCACTGCATTTTGACATGTTATCACAAAGTTCGCCTCTGAACCAATTTAGAAGACTGTTGTATAAACTAATACCCTAGAATCTGCTGCAGATAGACGCTATCTGGATGGTAGGCACAAGTTAAATGTGAATTTTAGGTCCGCTTTGTATCGCAGGTGTCAGCTAGCTAGCTTTCAACAATCAGAATGTGAGAGGTGTGAAATCCATCATTTTCAACTCGAGCTCCCCAACATGGGTTCCTTGGACTTGGAAGAGTGGGAACAGAAGGACCTGCCAGAAGGAATCTTCTGCTCTTATGGCTTTTTTATCGCCAGCATTCTGATTGTGCTAAAATATTTATATTCACCAAGCAATTAAGCATTTTCTTTTAACATGTCCCTCCAGTTGTGTTGAGTACAAAACAGCAAGCAATCTGACATTTATTGAGCAATGGATTGGATATACATCTCAAGTGCCTTGAGCGAGCCTTCACTACTAGGATTGTAGTCCAAGTCTCCTGATGTTCTGCCCTGGCCCACGGCTCTGAGCCCTATTTAATTGTCTATCCCCACCCCCAGCACAGCTGTCTGGACCAGGCGCAGCCACAACATACACTGGGTGGAGGTGGACCGCGTCATGCCACACAAGGAGCCGGGCCACAGTGTCTTGAAATCTGAGTGAAAAATTACAGCGGAAGGCATATATACTAAGGGCTCAGCATACGACATGGCTTATTATTAGTTGAAGTAGTACTGTCCCAATCTATAAAATGATGAAAATGATACTAACCCACTGTTATGAAGATCAAATACGGTAATGAAAAAAAGACAATGAACAGAGGCGCCAATGAAAGCAATAAAAGTGTACCACAGAGAGGAGAAACAGTTAGGATTGTGGCGAGCCATAAATTCTGCTAAGCTACTTCAGGCCGCGTGAGTCACCCCGAATGCAACAAGTGATTTTTAAAGGCAATGAAACGTGTTGGGACTTCATCCAATGACAACTGTAAAATTAATATAAAAGTTGACAGGAGGTTTGGCGCTCCTGGATGCAGCTGCCTTCCAAAGACTGCTGGGTGTGAGTAGAGGTTTCCAGTTATGATTCCAAGGCCTGCCCGTGTAACCAACACTGCTTAATTCGCAGCCCTCGAGGAGGCAGGGACAGCTCACTCGGGGACAGCCCTTCCAGGAGAGGGGCTGCCTCCGGGTAGGAAACTGAGAGGAGCCTCCCCCTGTTCCACCCCTCCTTCCTCACCACCCCCCAACATCCCCAGGAATTTCCCTCCCCTTGTCCACCTTCAACACTGGGGCCAAGCCAAGCATCTCTCATCATTGTCTCTGTAGCACAGAGCACACTCCCTTCCTATCAGTCAACCTCCTTCCCTCTCCCCTCTTTCCCTCTCCTGCCCTCTCTCGTCCCCCCACCCCTCCATACACCCCATGGCCTCCATTCTCTCACCCAGGAACTGCCAGGACCACACCACTGCCTTACAGATGCAGCTGACCACACAGAACATGTAACTCTCAGCCCGGTGCCTGATGGGCCTGGCCACGCACCCATTTTTAAGGGCAAGTCACAAGTCGCCAAAGCTCAGGAGACAAACTGCATACTCAAAGGTTGTGCTTTCCTTTCTCCGGCAAAGATTTTATTTGCTCACCCTCTGACAAAAGACTGGTAATTCTATCTCAAACAGGAAATCCTTTGCTCACTTTGAAATGAGGGCTCCAAAGCGGAAAATAACAACCAGTGATGACAATCAGAGAGCCTTTGACCACTGCCTCCCATCATCTGGGTCCTCAGGAAAAGTTTCCACCCTCAGTGGGGGAGATAACTGGCCTTGGGCTGACCATACACATTACAAGATATTCCCAGGTTATTATAAGTAATTAATGTCATTTGCCCCACTCAAGCACCATAGAAATTGGATTTTTTTAATTCTAATTTATTTTTTTGTATCTCAAAAATAAATTTTGGTATCTCAAAATACCGGAAAGAAACTCAAGCATGGTGGGTCTTTCAAGCATTTTCAGATATTAAGAACAAAAGGAATGCCCTCCCCCCAACTCCTGCAGTGGCTGTCACTGCTCTGCAGGTACAGAGGCTGGATTCAGACAGGGAGAGGGACAATCGCCCTAACACTCACCTTACACAAAGGTGCATATTCTATCTAAAGGGATCCTACTTTTAGGCACAAGCTGGATTTAAGAAGAGGGCTGGCCAGGAGACAACAGAGAAAGGAAAAAGTGGCTTGTAGTTTTAGAGAGAAAGGAGAAAAAAGGAAGAATTTGGGGCCAAATAATCCTAACAGGGAGCCTAGGGCCTCCGTGGTTAGGCTACAGGCTTCAACCCAGGTCTCATGTGTCTGGACTCCAAGTGTTCCGTGTTCCATTGGCATATGTTTTAAAAATAAATGTAAGCCTACGTTTAAAGAGTGAGAGATTGCAAGAAGAAAACAGATCTGGCCGCTCTGGCCTATTTTTCTTCATGGCAGTGACAGGAAGGGCAGAGGGATGGCTGCTCTCCAGGGCGTGGGGTGGTCACACTGTGACTTACAGATACCCCACACACACCGTGTCTCTCCACCCAGGACTTCATTGTTTTACTTCTCTCCCTTGCCTCTGAGGACCTCCGAGTTTACGGCTCCCGATCAAGGTCATTCTAACTTGTTCTACAAATGAAAAACAACGAAGCCCGGAGTGGGGCGGGACAGCAGCTGGCTTAGGATCACAGCGCTTCTCAGGGCAGGGCCCCCGCAGGAGAACCCCGACTGTCACACACAACCAAGCACCGTGGAGCTGTCTGCAGATTCCCGAGTTAGGAAACCAGCCATGCTGGCATCCCTGTCCCTGAAGCTCCCTCTCCCGCTGAATCACCTATGACCTTAGAATTCGTTGGTCTTGGAGACCCCTGTGCCTTCAGGAACTAGTCGCGATGAAGTACCATGTTTTCAAATGGTGACGTGCAGCGTCCTCTACGGGCTGGCCCGAGCTCTGTGCACACTCTGGACACCTTGGTGGTGATTCTGGGAGGTGTGCAGTATTAACGCTGGCTGTTTCAAGCCAGAACTCGCCCATGCAGCCAGCTACTTTGGTCAGCAAGGTGTTTAAAATTACTTAAATTAACCTAAGTGCAGACACGAGTTATCTCGTGACCCGTCAGCAACGTTAGGACACAGAAATGTGCATACTTGTAACCGGTCAGCAAGGTGTTAACACCACTGTACTGATGAGAAAGGTAAGGCTGAGGACAAGGGCACCCAGGCGAGTGCAGTGGCTGAGCTGCCCTTGGACCCAGGCCCTTCTGACCCCACCGCCCGCATACTGGCAGCAGGCCTTGCTGCCTTGCAAATACCCACCATCTCCAATAACAACAACAGAAGTTATTTGGTCCTGAAAAAAGTTAAACAATAGGTCCCGAGTAAAACGTCAGAAACGGGCTCTACCTCTTGGCCTGGAATTGTCACTGGGTTCCTCAGAAAGGTGCCTGCCTTATGTTTTGTCTCTCTGCTGTTTCTAGAGTATCGCTTAATACCTCTTGGAGTTATTAGTCATTAGCTTCTGGTGTCAGGTTTTGACCCAATTTTACTAAACTGGGCCTCTTAGGAGGATGCCCTTCATGGCCCTTTATGGGTTCTCACAAAGGCCATCTTCCCTGCACATCACTTCTCCCCTCGTCTAGTGTTCCTCACCCATAGGGATGTGGACACCAAAGTACACGGAATTTACAGGTTTACTGGGTTTTGCAAACAAAACAAGTTGTATTCAAAGCGTTTTAATTTTTACTGTTATTTTTCCAAAGTAAGCCAGGCAAAAATTCATCTCTAAGTGCTTAAAAAAAGAACATATGTGCAAAGCACTTGAGTAGCAAAGCAGGTAGTTGCTGTAGGAGAAATAGTGACCCATAAGTAATAGTAACACTTACGACCCATATGATGATCAGTCTTCTGGATAAGTAAGGATCAATATTCCACTGAGTGAACGGAAGAAATGTGATGTAGAACACTTCTTGACCCAAAGCAGCTGAAAATCGGAATAGGTAATAGTAGAAATAATTCTTCACAACGTACTTCTGGACATAAGCCTAAAAAGTAAAAGTTAAAAGACTGAGTTCATTGAACATGTCACTAGAGGGCAAATTGTGAAACCTCTCTCTAAAACTCTTGGATCTCAGTTGCCACGGTATTGCCTCCCCTCTCATTATGGCATCATTACCACCGATGTACATTGTTGTTGAACATCCATCAACCCAATTTGTCCACACAATCCCAGAAAAAGTTCTTCATAAAATTAACTAAGTAACATCTGAGAGAGAAATATCAGGGAAGACAGGACATTGAAAAAAGAAATAGGGGCAGGATGGAAGGGGTAAATGGGGGGGGAGAGGGAAACATCTATAATACTTTCAGCAATAAAGGTAAGTTGAAATAAAGAAAAGAAACAGGAAGATACAAACAACTGGAAGAATATACCATGTTCATGGATTGGAAAAATTAACATCATTAGAATGTGCATACTACCCAAAGCAATCTATACAGTCAACGCAATTCCTGTTAAAATAGTTTACCTTTTACAATAAAGATAAATTTTAAAAATAAATAAAAAATAAATAAAAATAAATAGTTTACCTTTTAAATGGAACAAAGGTCAACCCACTACAATGATGGTGCAAGGAAACCAGTAAATACATGCAGGGCCTGCTAATATACACTCCCATTTTCTATCCCTTTCCCCCTCTTAGCCTGGAGTAGGTAGCAGGGAAAAAAAAAAGGCTTAAGGGGGTTAAAACAGGAGTTTTAAATTATGACATATTAGTGATTAGTTAAGAAGTAAAACATGCTATTTATGGTAGTCATAGACTTTATAAAATCAAAGTAAAATGCCAGTGCTAAAAATGGGAAGGAAGAGAGGCAGCCCTCATAGGTCTAGATCTTCTGTTTTGTTTTATATAAATTCGGAGGTCCTTGAATCGTGGGGGAATTCAGAGAATAAGTTCTATGTATTTATTCTGCACATACTCATTCTGTGCCTACAATGGCCAGAACCTGTGCTGGGTGGCAAGATGCAGATGAGTCAAGCATGACACTTGGGTTCAAGGGGCTCTTTTCTGGTGGGGAGAGGGGGAGGGAGCCAAAGAGTACAGTAAACCCTCAATTTTGTGGACCTTGGATATTTAATGGACCAAATTTCCAATCTGTATATCATGCAAAAATTAACACCCTGTTAATTTTAAAATGCTTTTAACCAAGATTTGCTTACAATGAAATTAACAGGTTATTTTTTGTTATTAATACACTTTTAATAAATTGTGGCGGATAGGCCATGTTGGAAAAAACACTGCAGTAATTTCACTGACATGGATATTATGTATCTACAACTATAATGTAGATATTTATAATCCAAGCGTCACTGCTTGTAAACAATGTTTGGCAAATGATTAGCACGTGATCACACTGTATCACACGTGGCCATTTGTTCAGTTGCCACGTGGCAGGGTTTCTGCAGCAGTTTTCATGCGTGCAGGCTGATGTTCCCACGTGCGTTAAACCACACCCCAGCCATGTGCATTTCTTTACTTATCAGGACTGGTAAATGCATGAATTTACTAGACCTATTCAGTATGAATTTAAAATTACAGTAATACATATAGAAAACTTTTCTGTGACATTAAGCTTTTCATACATACCTAATTTTAATTACACAAATGTGTCTACATAAGTAAAAACAGGTAAGCTAATTTGTCAATTTTTTAACGTAAGTATTTGGAAAACCTATTTTATTATATAATGGACTTCCAGCTTTAATGGACACTCCCTTACCCAAATTAGTCTGTTATATTGAGGTTTTGCTGTATAACAATTTGGGGCAATGAATTTTTAAAGGACCAATATTGTGTTTGAGGGCCTTAAAAAAGGCTGAGAGTATGTTATACTTAAAGAATAAAAATAAAAAAAAATAAATGACCTTGGAAACTGCAAGAATATAACTGTATTGACGCTGTTGGCTGCCTACCAAGTATGCATTCCTTTCTTTCTCTGAGAGGTTCTTGATTTTATTCCAGCATCTCTTCCTCCCCCCGCCGCCCCCTAGACCTGTGACTCAGGGGGAAGCTGACACTGCCCTCAGCTCCAGAGGTGTATCTGGGTTCGTCTCAACCAGTCACTGTATGTTCAAGAATTCAGCCTCAGGCCAAGCAATGCATGGCACTACCGTGGAGAAAGTGACTAGGCAGGGGTGAGCCCAAGCTGCAAGCCACAAGTTCATCAGTCATCTAAGCGAATTAAAATGGGAGAGAATGTCAATAGATCGACCCTAAACAGGAGCGATAACAGTGCTCAAAATGAATACGGAAGTGTGCAGGGTCATTTCTCTGCCAAGATATTATGACTGGATTTGCAAAAGGAGGTCAAGGGACAGAGAACAAACAACTAAGCGACAAACTCCCCTCCCTCTATTATCTGAGAACTAATCTCTGCAAGTTCCATTTTATAAATGTACCTCCAATAGGCCTGACCTTCAGGCAAACCCTGTCAAGAGCCCCTTTTAGCATAAAGATTACTTTAACCTGCCAGCTACCAGGTACACTTGGTAACCTGCACTGAAGCTTTACAAGAACCTTTGCCAAACTGACAAGGGTCAAACCCCTCCCTTGTGTCATTTCAAGGTTCCCAAGTGCTATTGACATTATAAATACTCAGCGACAGCCATTTCCCTACCCTAGAGATTTACCGGAGGCCANCTGTTCCCAAGTGCTATGGACATTATAAATACTCAGCGACAGCCATTTCCCTACCCTAGAGATTTACCGGAGGCCAAGTTCGATATCTATCTTAATCCTAGTAAATAACTGAAAAGACCTTCAGGGATGACAGCAAACTGCTCTAGTGTCCCATATTACTAATATCTTTAGGCATGCTTTTTACAACTGCTCAGGAATTCTTTTTTTTTTTTTTTTTTTGAAGGGAGAGCTAAATATTCTCTCAATCTTTCAGGAACAGAAGCAAAGGTAAAATTTTAAATATCAGCCTTTATATGGGACACCCGAAGGATTTTTTAGAGAATATCTCTATATATGTGACTAAATAGATTGAGAGCTATTCTTTGCCTCTAAATTCTTGGGGGTTATATGCTACCTAAATAAAGAAGTACTCACTTTTTTTTAGAACAAGAATCTAGGTTTCCCTTGTAGGAAATCTCAATGTGTGCGACTTCAACATATCTTTGGAAATAAGAATTTCAGTTCCAGTGTCTGTGTTGGTCCCATTGGGAACAACTAGAGAAGAAAGGGGTTAGAAACTGAGGTGGTAGGTAAGGTGAATGGCAGAAAGAGCGAGCTAAGAGGAGGGAAACCAAGGCCCAGGAGTCTCCTTACACTACACTTCTGTGCACCAGCCTGCAGGGTAGTGTCTCTGGGCACAGACTTGAGGGGCAGGGATTAGTAGCTAACTTTTTAGACAAAAGATAAGGAAGGCACTGAACATTTAGGGGTGGTGGTGGAGAGATAGTTTTAGAAATCAGATGCTTCTTAGTATGACTGTCATCTGTTACAAAGCCAAATGAAGAAGTTTCTAGTAAACAAGGGGTGATAAGATGGAAATTACCCACATAGCCATTAGAATTAACTGCAAAATGTCACCAATATTCTCACTTGTGTACTTTATTTATTGGCTAATTTTCCTGAAAGTTAAAAGAAGTGTTTTCACAGGTGAACAGAAGTGTGACCACAGTCTCCCAATGCCATCCTGCCTTTTTGGTTATACGTTTCTCAAACGCCCATTTTTCAAGTGGGGTTTTTAGTAACTGAACCTGTGGGTCAGAGAAAAGCTGCTCCGTTTTGCTGTTACTAGGGTGTTCCATGTTCTCTGCAAGGCTGCCTTCCATGCATAAACAGATCAGGAGAGGGAGGGAGCCGTACAGACTCATTGCTCGGAAAGAGAAAGAACACAGAGTATAAGTATAATGCCTCTTGCCTCAGCTCTGCTCTGAACACCTGAACAGGGTTTTGTTTTCCAAACACACACCGAGGAGTCCCAAATGCAAGGGGAAGACGGCCAGGTCAGAGCCACGGACATGCTCAGGGCTGACCCAGACAGCAGAGCGAGCTTTCTAATGAGGAAAACAAGAACAATGTGTGACCTGGGGGAAGTCAATTTGCCCTTCTAGCACTAGTTCAGTGGCTTTTTAATACACAAAATGTTTTAAAGTAGGGAAAGTCCCCTTAAATAAAATGGCACCCCAGGACCTATTATATAAAATAAGACTGAAAGTCTGTCCTAATTGGTCGAAAGTGAGGAGGTCACTGGGAGTTCCTATTTCAGGCAGGCCCCCTGCCCCCATCCCCACCACTGTCCTTCTCTGGAACAGCCCCTCGGAGCAGGTCAGTCATCAGTTTGGAAACCACCTACCTTCGTCTCTGCCAGACCTCACCCACCCACCACCTCCCTAGAACTTTCCCTTGGCCCCAAGTACACAGGCTATGGATATTCCAGCCTTAAACTCTGGACCAAAAGTCATTGCAAGGTCTTATTACTCATCTCTTTTTGTTCAGGTTAGAGCTGTAAACATAAGTATTTTTCCAAAGGTCAAGTTTGAGACACCCCTGAATCTCAACAGAGCTGAGAGGAGTTCACGTCCGGGAGGCCATCTGCAGCTCTAAGCAGTTCTCTCCAGCTGGAAACAGGAGAGAGAGCTCATCCTCTTGGGCTGAGAGAGATCCAGTTCTATAGGTCCAACTACATACATGAAGAGTCTTACTGAAAAAGAATCCTAAGGCCCAAAGCTCTTTAGTAGGACACACCAACGGCGTTGCTTCAGAGAAGTTTTAGAGACGGGAGGGGAAGGAGCCAGTGAATACAGGGTGAACTGACCCTGCGAGCAGAAGAGGCCAGGAAGGGGAGGTTGGGGACTCGGACGCGGGACACGGCACGTCTCAGGCCCAATCCAGGCTGCCCCGCCACTTACTACCTGAATGATCTCAGCAATGCTTTAAGCTCCCAGAGCCTCAGTTTCCACCCCCTGCAAATGTAAATGACACTAGTACATACCACATAGGAAGGTCGGGAAGCTTAAATCAGATCCT